CACAATCTGGTGTGATCAACAATTTGAACAAGATCAATACGCTCAAACCCTCGCTCATAATGACTTGTGATCTTGTGCTAAGAGTTGTATACCATAATTTGCTCCGTTCAAAATCTGCATTTACACTCGCAAAAGTCTGCCTGAATGACTGGAGTTGCTATTTTGATTATTTACATTCAGACTATTATCCTCATCTTTGTTGATATTGTCACGACATTTCGGCCGTTGTGCCTTCCCCGGACTTCTTCAGGTGTATTTCATTTGGGATACCCCTCAGTGAATTTCGAAATGAACAATTTATTTAATATATCTAGGGTAGATTTTTTCTCATTTTGATGTCCATGACGAGGATTATCTCGTCTTGTTCTTATTTAGTACTGCTCAGTTAGTGTTCGCCCTGTTTCCATCGAGTCGGAATTTATACTACCCCGCCCAGGGATTGAACTCGCAATCATCAAACCACCAAATTCGTAAAAGAAATGGGAACTAAAGTTTGCCGACGAAACTGACTTGATTTAATTTCCTTGAAAATTACAATAAATATTCTCTGGATCTTTTTTATTTTATTTATTTTTATTTTTTTGTTTCCTCATTAGTCAAATAAACAAAGGGAAATCACTCGCAGTGAAAGCAAGTGAATATTTTTCCACGGACAATTAAATCACTTTCTTAACTAATTTAATTATTTTTTACATGAAGTCGTTCGTTCTCACTGCATAAATTAATAGATGAAAGGAAAATATATTTCAACTCAGTTAAAACTTTGTGCTTTGTGGTCTGCTTTTATCGGTGTTGTAAATCTAAACTTTGGCAACATTTACAATACACAGGTCGATTAAGAATTTGTTGCAACGTAACGCGAGAAGTGATTATTGTTAATTTAATTACTTAAATGTTATTCCCATGTGTAGAGAAAATAAATGCGTTTTTCCTTAGGTTATGTACCCTTATATTCACATCTCTCTCTATCTCTCTCATATATATATATATATATATATATATATATATATATATGCTTACGGATGAGAGACCGCTTGGGAAGATAAGGATGTGCGGGTGGTGTAATGGATAATAGTTCGGAATTGTTAATCGGAGAACCGAGTTCTAATTCCCGTTGTGATCGTTATATTCACTTAGATGTAAATATACTTGGGAAAGGTATGAATCCACCTCTTCTCTCCCCACTTATGGGTTAATTAGTAAGACTTCTATCACTAAACCAGGGTTCACCAAACTATTCCCACAATGTCAGTTCATCCGGGCCGCCGCACTGTGCCACAAATGAGCTAAAATATATGTTTGGGTGTCAATCTGAGGACGGTGCAGAGGATTCGGAAAGTGTTGGAAGAGTCTAATGGTGATTACGAAGGTACGTCAGCTTGGAAAACTCACTCATGTTCTGGTAAGAAAAGAACTCCCGAATTTGTTGGTGAGGGCCTTACGCTCAACGCAGAAGCCTATGTCAAGTGCCTTGAGGAGGTAGTGCTAGCCTGGGTCAAGAGGGTGGCTGCTGGAAGACAACAGGACTCTGCACCATGCCACACAAGTAGGAGAACGAAGTGAAGGCAAGGATTATGACAGCATTTACCAACTTAAACAAGAAGACCTCCCAGAAGAGTTACAGGAGATTCCGAAGTCGTCTGGTTGAAGCTAATGGCGATTTTATGGAATAAATTTACTTTCTAGTATTTAAAGACATTTTTGTGTAATTTTGGTAAAATATCTGTTAAAATGAGATGTCAGTTTTATTTTCATTTTTGCGTAATTTAGACAATTTATCCATCGCACATTGTATATATTATAAGAAATAAATTTAATGTTCGCTTATCTCTGGGTTTCGCGGAGATTACATCCAGTCGTTAGAGAACTTAATAGTAAAATATTAATATAAAATAGGAGAAGTTTACTATGTCCTCTGAAGAGTGGATCTAATTGCTACGAAAATCAGAGTAGTGATATATAAGCGAAAATTTAATTTCATTTTGTTATACTCTTTTTTGATTAATTACAAAACTACTTGCTGCCCCTTCTCATTAACAAGTCGTCTACCAGAAGAGGACTGACAATGAAAATAAATTTAAAACAATGCCCCGAGACAGACACTTAGATGCTGATGATAGCCGCGTACAGATCGGCTTGAAATAGTCTATCCCCATGTTGAGGTAATTTTTGGTCTTTACTGTAAAAAAAAGTACATATGCTCTGTTATAATAAATACATCAAGCTCGCTGTGGATCATTTTTAATAATTAATATTACTAGGATCCACCCGGATTATATACCAACGGAGCAATTACATCTACTATATATATGTGTGTGTGTGTGTGTGTGTGTGTGTGTGTGTGTGTGTGTGTGTGTGTGTGTATTTTGTCAATAATGCTTGTATTAATTATTGAACAAAACATATTCATGTCAATTTCTGTGTGATCAAATCTAAGGGAGTTTCTTTCGTAACAATAATCTTAATAACATAGTACCTGTCAAAACTTACGGTGTTATTTAAATATAAATTGATATTTCTGCCTCTGATTCGAGAATCTTCTGTGCACGATATCGAGTATGTGTTACTCAATTCTCTCTCTCTCTCTCTCATATATATATATTCCTTATCTACATAAATGACCTTCCTGACGCCATAACTTCCCAAGTTGGCATCTACGCGGATGACACCACAATTTATTCCTGCCTCAAAAACAAATCTAGTCTCGCTGACAAAACTCACCTGGCCGTGCGTCTCGAAAAGGACCTCCAATCGATTGTGAACTGGGGCATGAATTGGCTGGTCAACTTCAACGCTTCGAAGACAAAATTGCTCTCTATTAATCACCACAAAGATCCTTCCCTTCCCTCCATTAGAATGTCTGACGCTCAACTTCTCGAGAGCAACTCTCTGCGGCTTCACGGTCTCACGTTGAATGCTGACCTGAGATGGAACAAATGAATTGAGTCAATTGCCTCGTCCACTGCAAAGAAAGTTGGCTCCCTGAGCCGCGCTAGGAAGTTTTTCTCCCCGGAGTCGATCCTCCAGATCTACAAATCCACAATTCGCCCTTGCATGGAGTATTGCTGCCATATATGGTCTGGCGCCCCTTCTGTTTGCCTCGGGGTTCTTGATAGGCTCCAGAGGCGGATATGCAATATGGTTGGCCCTGCCCTGGCGTCTCGTCTACAGTCACTTTCTCACAGACGCGCCGTCGCCTCCCTCTGTCTGTTCTACAAATACTTTCATGGAAATTGTTCCGAGGAGCTGCATTTGTTGGTTCCCAGACGTCATGAGTTCCAGCGCCCTACGAGGCTGGCATCCCGCTCTCACCCCTTCACTGTCGAAACTCCTAAATGTAGCCGTCTCTTCTACTCTAATAGCTTCATGTCTCGCACCTCTCGCCTGTGGAACTCCCTTCCCCTCTCCTGTTTCCCTGTGAGCTATAATCTCCAGCTATTCAAGTGTAATGTCAATCGACATCTCCAGTTGCCTTGATCTATCCACTACCCTTCTCCTCATCCTTTCTTCTATCACTCCTATCTAATCTTGCTCTAAATTTTCTGTAACCCCTTGCGTCCTAGTGGCTTCCCGCCTTGCTTGGGGTGAAATGTTTAAAATATATATATATGTGTGTGTGTGTGTGTGATAGGATGAAGAACGAATAGAAGACATTTATCAATCTAACATGTTTCACTTTTAGTAAAGCTTCATCAGAGAATGAGTTATGGCGGTCAAATAACAAAAAAAATCATTGATTTTGCAAATGCCACACTAATTAAAAAAGAACATAATTCTTTACGTAGAAAGTACTTCGAGGAAGTCCTGGTAAATATTTTATCAACTATAAACACTCGTCAAAGATACTATATTACATCAACAACGTTTATTGAATCCATTCTTAAAGAATTCAACATGCGTTTATCTGAAACAAAGAAGGTTTAAATAAAAACGTCATAGTACTCTTACATACACAAAGCAATATTTACGTTTTATCAGTTAGGCTTAAAATCCGTTAATTTCTTGAGCTTCGAAATTACGTGTTATCTTTCGGGACTCCATAAATTATACTAACGCTGTTTAATAAAGTCAAATGCACATGAACCCTAATTAACCAGTGAAAACCAAACAACACAAAAATAAAATTATTCCTTTTTCTCCATATTTCATTCTCAGATAGAGCTTGATTAAAATATGTTAGATTGATAAATGTTTATTTTTGTTCTTTATCCTATCATTCTCTCCGATTCCGATCCATATTTGATCCCAAATTCATATATATATATATATATATATATATATATATATATATATATATAGAGAGAGAGAGAGAGAGAGAGGAGAGCGTATTTTGTTGAAAGTCATATAATTTATCTATACATAAATAATTCTGTTATTTTTATGGGTATTACAATAATGAATAGTTTAACTGCACCATCAAAAAATGCCGTCCTCACCCGACTTCCGCAATTGAATCTTGTACGTGATTCAACAGCCGTGGGTGGGGTTTAAGTTCAAGGAGTAGACACAAGGTTAGTGCAGGAGTCGGATTAGAACGAACCCAGGAAAACATTATGTAAAGCACATCGTGTATTGCGTATGTGATCCTTGAACTGGGATATTGTCTCGTAAGAAAGTTCAAGGCGTACACGGTCGAAATGTTACGAAAAACAAACAAGGGAAAATTAGTTCAAAAGAAAACTACATACATGGATTTAAAAAGCTCATATAACAAAATTCAAAGAAGACTTCCACTGATATTACGTGACGGGAATAAAGATTTGGTAACCACGACTCATAAAATCGAAAAATTACTTATTTACATTATTTATATGCGGACTATTGATCTCTTTGATTTTCTTATCACATCGTTTTGGCCGTTGTGCTTCCGGCTTTCATCTGTTACTTGTCTGATTCCTTGCAGCTTCATAATAAAAAAATAAATTAAAACGTTTATTTCGGTGATAGTTAATATTGTCGCGAAAATGTTTTAATATATATATTTTTTTTTTTATCAACAGCTTTTGCTTTCAAGGACTGTCTTCCAAATGGAACCTGGTTTCGGCACCCGCTATCAAATCTGTCGTGGACCAACTATACACAATGCTTTACAGATCAGGTAAGGCGTATTCTTTATACTTAGTAATTCCTTTACACTATTTACATTGTTCGGACTGTTTTCCTCATCTTTGTCGCCATATTCACTCAGTCCGAACAATGTAAATAGCGTAAATAATTACAATGTCTCATTTCAGAAATATACAGATATTACTAATTCCTGTGTTACAAAGGTTGTAGCATCTGGGATAAAAACCAGTAAAACTATTGAAAATTCCAGTATTTGACCATTGCTGTCATGTAAAAGCCTTGAACATTTCCCTAATGAGACTCTTATACATCTCCGCATGTAACATGTGGACATTTGAAGTGCGACTTTCAGGACGTAAGTGATCAGGACTCTCTGGAATTTCCTGTATTGATACCTGCTTCTATACTCATAAAGTTTCGATCGTTGCTCTCTCCAGCTTCCTTTAGGAGTCCGTCATAGTACTCTGTAACCTCGAGTTTTGTTGGTGTTGCAATGTTGTCTTTGTTTAAAATAGCTGAGAATTAGAAAAGCCGTAGTTAGAGACAACATCGAAGGAACAGAAGACTATGTAGGAAAAACAAAAAAGAGGTTTATTGAAGATTCATGCATAGGACAGGAAAACTTGTGTAAATCAACTACTGCTCAAATCTCGTTTTAAGTAGGGAAGAGACGGAAGTACGCTGGGTCCTACTTTACGACACTTTCCCTTTTAGTTCATATTCCTGAATCTTACTGAATATCTTTTTCTTTTTACTTGGATTCACCTCCAACCAGCTGGTACTTTTTCTTTTTCTTTTTCTTTTCTCGGGGTGCTGATACCACTTCGTCTGGTGTTATGGTAGCCACGGGCAAGTGAAATGCGTCACACACGAGTTCGAATTGCAGTGTCGTCGACCGAGGAGAGTTTTCCTTACAATCTCTCCACCGTGGCTGGTTTATATATTTCTTGTGCACATCATTTTGATTTTGAAACAAATATATTATTCGACCAATTCGCCAAAATATCAAGCCGTCCCCTCCCACGACTGTTTCCCTCGGAGGGTTTCAATTTTATTTTCATTTTATTCTCTCGTAATTCAAGAAACAATTTAGAGAATATAGTTATTTTTCTCGAGAACATTAACTCGATGGGTGATTTCCTCGACGTATTGTTAGGATTTGAAGTGTCTGTACAAACATAGAAAATGCTGTAACATTTTCTCGCCTGTCTCCCCAGCGTTAGCTTTTTTTTTAAATTCTACTTTGAGAGTGTCGACTAATCTTTCTGCTTGTCCGTTGTTTATAGGGTGATAAGGTGGAGTTTACATATTTCAACACATACATATTGCAGAAATATATTATTGTGTCAGTGTCGGGTATTCCATATCTTTCTCTCTGAAATTTTATGGTAACTGTCGTCGTGGCATTTTTACACTGATAAACCTCAGGCCATTTCGTCTAACTGTCTATCACTACACGTTAATAAAATCTTTTTACTCGTCCTGCATAATCCAGATGTAATCTTAACCATGTTTTCCGGTCATGGTTCAACTTTTATGAGTAGGGATTTTGACGCTAGTGCACATTTACGACATGTTTTAACCTTATTTTCAACGACTGAGTCGATATTGTTCCAATAAACATAGCTACGTATTAAGGATTTCATTCTAGAAATTCATGGATGGCCTCTGTGGAATTGGTTTAATATCGGTTTCTGTACTGATTTAAGAATTACTATGTGGTTTGTGTACATTAATACATCATCATAAATTGAACTTTTTTAGCCGCTCACCCCAAAAAAACGTTCATGGGTTTTCGTATCACAACATAGAACGTAAACTTCGAGTCCTGCCCTCGGAAAGAAACATGGTTCTCATTATATTTAATTTCGGCCCAGGTCATCTCTGTGTGGTGTAATGGTTAGCAAAGCTCGTCTCTCTAAAACAGTTACGACTGAATAGTGAATTCGATCCTCACTGGGTGCCCCATACTTTCGGCCGTGTGCCACATCTCAGCTACGCTCAGAAAGCCAATATTTAATTTCGTCCCCAACGCATCTGGATAATTTTGGGGGCGCCAGTATCCTTCCATATTTTTTTTTTTTTTTTACTTATAATCGTTATGCCGGATCCTGTGTCTAATTGTAGTTTTGCATTCTTCCGTTCATTTTTACTTTTACATATTTTCGGTTAACCGCGGGCCGTCCTTGTGTTGTCAGAATAATGTTAACATTGTAGAGTAAAAATGGAAGGTCTCATTAGATAATGAGGGACTTACACAGACAGACATAAGTTACCGCGTGCAATGTTATATAAACAGCTGAATGGCCAGGGGCCAGATATATTTTTGTATTTGTATCTCGTTGGTACGAGAATAAAGTAATTGAGAATTTCTACTACCATTGCTGTCATGGTGGCTATTTTACAAACATAATTAGTTTTTTTTTTTTTTTTTGTTCTCTGGACATCTGACGACAATAAGAAGTATCATTTCTCTTACTATTCCGACTCCTATTTTTGAAACTGTTCGGATATTTAACCCTTTTCAAGTAACTGATGAATACTGTATATACTCCGCATTAATGCTTTATACAATAATACGTTTACGGTTGTTCGAGAACTTACTAGCTTTCATAACAAACGCTACATTCACCTTGTTAATCTTGTTTGCTTGAAAAGAATGCTTCTGCCCCTCGGTGTTATGTTGTATTGTTAGATAGTAATGGAAAGGGAATGCTTTTAATTTTTTACGATGTGCACGAATGCAATTTTTTCCCTTATTTCATATCTTGTTATTGGCTAAAAATTACCTATTTTCAGCGCACAATACACTAACATTGTGTAGGCCCAGAATAACCAGTAACATTATTTTTTTTTTTTTTAACATAGAAACTTTTTTTATTATTCTCGGTCCGTGTCTCCTGGGTGCCGTTCTTGTTAGTCATCAGTTTTCTGTTCCAGGATTTCTTTGAGTAAATTTTCTTTCTTCTACACCTTTTCCCCCCTAATACATCTGACTACAAAAATGTAAGGATTAGTTGTAAAGTCAATGAATAAACACAGGTAAATATAACCGAATGAAAATACGTATAATTAACAAAAAGAAGGAACTACATCCGTCACTCTGCAGAATATTTAATCAACTTATCACCTCGTATTCAATCTCCGACTGCTAAACCTGGTGCTGGCCCTACTGAGACAATCCTTCGAAGTTGCAAAGAAGGCCCTCACTGAACGCACACCATGCCCAACTGTATACATTTTAGCGACCAAATTATCTAACGAAGTCACATTTAGCTCGCAAGGTTTATCCATGAAAACAAGGATGCACCATCCACGCCTCAGCGGTCCAAATGGCACGAATGGACCTGAGCTATTCACCAAATTGGCCAATACGTCAGCATCCCGTGTTCCTGTTCCCGATAGAACACTAAACACTCGACATGCCCAAACCAGGCAGAAATACAAGGTAACAATCTAAATACATACATCTTTACTAAACAAATGACCGTCAACATGTTTCTTCTCGGGCTTGAGGCCTTTAAACATATTTCTTCTTTTCCGTTTGCGACAACCCAAATCTAGATAGGTGTTTTGAGGGTGGATAGGTGATAAACACTTCGACATTCCATCGCAACTGAAAATTCACTGGCCATACAGTCCTGCATGATGTACTGTCCATGAGCCCAGTCGGTTTTTTTTTCTCAAAAGGTACAGTTAATTCAATATTAACTTTTTATTTCTGAATTTCACTGACCAAATTACAATGTTAGGATGCTGGCTGGTTAATATTATCTCAGCTGGAAAGCTTCGTCTACGACCAAGGACCCGCCCATACCCTCCATTAAAAGGCGTTGGGGTTTTTTTCTTCCTAGATCAACTTCCATTACGACTTTTTTTTACATTTACCATAATTTCAGTAGTTGATGGAACTTTATGAGCAGAAATTTCGTAGAAAATATATAGAAGATTCAGACAGGTAGATGTAATTAATACGGTTTAATTAAAAACAGAGCAATTACTTAAATAAATTGTATCTATAAAAATAACGTATAAAACAGAAAATATATTAAATAATTATTGAACTTTATCCAACTCATAACATGTTGTCATTGTTTAAGTTAAGATACGTTTCGTGAGTAGAAATGATCGATCGAGAAAAATCGTTAAAGATTGTGTATTTATAAACAGTAATTCGGACTTTGCCAACTAGACGCTTCTCTGTAGCTGAATGGTACAGCACGTCAGGACAAATGAAGGTCTCCGTAGAATAATACAGGTTCGATTCCTGTCGGAGAACGCATATTTTCTATGAAATTTCTCGAATATTCAGGCTGGCAAATGTAATTAATACTGTTTAAATAAAAACAAAGCATTTACTCAAATAAGTTGTATCTATAAAAGTAACGTATAAAACAGAAAATATATTAGATAATTGTCGGACTTAATCCAATCCATTTCATTACATATATATATATATATATATATATATATATATATATATATATATATATATATATATAATGGACTCTTTCGTCGGTTTCAACGTATGAGGATCTGACAAATTAGCCAATTGATTCAGTTATAAATTTTGTGCGATGATCTTAAGTGGCACTTTAGAACTGCAAGTGATTTGCAGAGGAGACCGCACATGAAGCAAGAGTGAGGTTTGTGGGATGAGGTTACTGTTAGGCTGACCTTTTAGATATTGCTCTCGCTAAAGATCCACTGTAGTTGACTTTGCTACCAAGATAGGTGAAAGACTTTACATAGTTCAGAGATTTGTATTTTACTTTCAATGGTCTCTCTGGAAATTTGTAGACTGGTGGTTTTTGTTTCTCACCACGCAATTGCTTCGGAGTAGGACAAGGTTGGTGCACTACTTCAGTTTTCTTTATGTTAAGTGTAAGACCAAAGGCTTTACATGCAGCAGAGAAACGATTTAGTAGTTATTGGGTGTATATATATATATATATATATATATATATATATATATATATATATATATACACACACACAAAAGGCTCAAAAACAAATATTCCATGGTTATAA